TTGCACTGAAGTTCTTTCAACAATACACCAAAAAGAAGTATTTTCTAAGTCTAGCTTCCAAGTTCCAATTCAATTCGCCCAAGTACTGGGCTTGTACATCAATGAGAACATTACACGACTGGTACACATTCGTGATTTACCACTGCTTCTTCGTTGACACCAATATTTTTTTTCCATCTTTTAAACTGCTCAACGATTGCCTTTGTTTGTCTCTCAGAGATGAAATTACAAATGTTTTCATTATCTGATCGACCAGGTCGTCTATGGTAGTCACCATCTTTGTTAAGCCATACATGCTACGAACAGCGATTGTGCATTGCATCTTCATTACAAGGGGCATAACTCATGATCTACTTGAGGTGGCGCCACAATCGAGCCAACAAAAAAAGGGCTTCATGTGGCAAGGGTAGAAACTAAGCTTTGATATAGGCTAGTAGACACGCTCGCCTTGGGAAGATGTTTTGACTGCTTCATCTTATAACATATATAAAAAAATAGGTAAAGAAGTTAAAAAATTCATAGATGCAACACTCCGCACAGACTTACAATTGTTATCAAGAAAAATATTTCTTTCTTTCTAAAAAACGAAAAAAAGCAAGAGCAAGACAATTACACAACTGTCATCAAGAAAAATATTTTTTCTCTCTAAAAAAACGGAACAAACATGAACAAGACAATTACTCACACACAATCATGCTTGATATGATAGCCCTACTCCCAGGCTTTGTTCACGGCCTACACAAGTAAAAAATCCAATCCAAATCTCAACTTCAATACATCAGAGGATAAACTGACAATTCCATCACCATGGTAACATCATAGTAGTTCACATTTCATTATTAAAACAACACAAAAGAATTGACCAATCACCCAAGAACAAATTAACATTTTTTAATAATTTAATTATAACATTTATGTCTTTATCTAATTTCAAACCTAATTTTATTTAAAAATCTGACAGACAAAAAGTCTGAATTGTTGTAAAATGCTAAAACATATTTTGTTGCAAACAAGAACAGTTAAAACCAGTTCAATCCTCCATATCACAGGTATAGGGTAACCGTAAACATTGCCATAGAACTGATAACATGAATAACAGAGACTATATATACACACTAACTGATTGTAGGAATGTCACGATTGGAATTAATCTACTACTACAGGCCTGAGAGAGAAATTTTGTATGGATCGAAATTGACAGAAATATCCACAATGGTTGACAACTATTTATAGAAACCTGTCTATACAGCTACACATTCTCAGCAGCCTCTCTGTTCAACCTCTCATGGACATGTTTTCATTTCTCATATAGTTATTTTCAAAATAACCTTTAGGTGCAGTGAGGTAAGGTGAAATGGGGTTTAATGTCACGTTCAAGATTAACAACAAGAACAATCTTGGTCTCCAGAGGCAGTCGAATAACTCATAGAACCTTGCCTGGAATGTTAACAGAGGAAGGGTAGATTGTCTTCTTCTATCCATGGTTACTGACTATTATTTTATATTTTTTTATTTTTAAGTAATATAATCACGATGACAACTTTTTAAAGGCCTATTATCCATTCTAAAATATTTTTTAGAAAGAGTTCAAGAGTTAATCCTGTCATTTTTTGCTGGCGTTTTGCTCATTTTCGATCCAAACAGGAAACATCTCTGGTAGGCAAGAACTAAGGACAAGATAACCGTATAAGTACTCGTATCGACGCATGCTATAGAGGAGATCACTATAATTCACAACGTCCTCAATAATATCACAGCATGCACCACACAACACAGTGCGATCAAATGGCCGTGGACCTGTCAAATAGACATACTTGTTAATCAAACCCCCCGGACCTTTGAATACATGTTAAGTTTTCTGCAATTAGAGGTAAGCGGAGTATCGATATTAGGACATAATTCTAATGAATATTCCACCAGCAATACAAAGTTAAAATTAATCTCGACCTTCTCAACGATACATTGAGGAACAGCGTTTAAGTTATTGAGATTTCCCTGACCATAGATTATGTATGTACATATGTAAAAACCTAGTCATATTTCTGTCATATGGAACTTTTGGTATTTCAGTATTTTTTCATTTCTAAAACTAGTTCTCAGCCAATGAAGAAATAATATTTCTTTTTCAACAGGTATATGAACATAATAAAAGCAGAAACATTTCCATCTAAATCCAAATCTCAGGAGCTTAGTATTTTTCTTTTTCATAAATTGATCCCTTATAACAAAACAGTGTCAAACACATGTTTTGTTATTGTTGACATAATCTCATATTTGAACAAATGCCCTGGTGATCTCTAACACTCGTACCAAGAGTGTAAAAAAACTCAGGCAGAAAGTCTGCGAAGTAGATATACTAGTAACAAAAATATGTATTTTGTTAACGAGAATCTTAACTAATTTTTGTTAATAATCACAAAACTATCACTTGGCAACAGAGCTAATATACATACTAATAACACATATACTGAGTTTGAGTATACCAGTTCCAATTTTGTCACTTAATGCCCCTGAGTTACGTTCTGTTTTTTGTGTGTTTAAAAAAAATAAAATTCATCAAACTATTTTGGCAGGATTGTTGAAACAATAATACAAGCCTTAAACATCAGTATACATTATACAATATAAAACCATTTTCATATCATTTTACAACTCAATTTGATAATATTATGATTTATTACTTGCCCGTGAAGAGATCACCCGTTTAATAAACATACAGCTGTATTACACATTGTGTAATACCAAAACGCGTGCTTTTGTACTCTCGGAACACGTTTCACGAACAAATATTGAAAGCTCTCAACATCCCTTGGCTTATTCAACGACATTGCGTGTGGAGTTGATAGATCACTGAGAGGAGCTTATGCACACTCGATGACCCCAGCAACCTTGTTGCTAGGCTGACGTCACATGGCATTGTTTCGCCGATGGATCTTGCAACAAAATTCCACAAATTACGTCATCGGGTTTTGTGACGTTATTGTAAACTTTGAGGTGCAAGGCCCGTTCCACAAGGCGATCGTATTGTAGCGCAACGACAGTCTTAGCCCTACGATAATTTTGTGAATTCTAAAGGTGGACCGTTGTTTGGAATTAAATTCATACGTTTCAACTTTTGACGTGTTTGAAGTATTACTCTGTTAAACTCAATTTGACTATGCCGTTGATCGTGTGGGTGTCAGCCTATGCTACTCAACAGTATAATTCTAAAAACGTTATAAATGGCAAGTAATATATAAAATACTAAACTCGCTCCCGTGTAAAACCAATTTTATGAAACTCGTGAATAGTTGTGGTATCTGACGAGCGAAAGCGAGTCAGATACCACAACTATTCACTCGTTTAATAAAATTGGTATTACACGGGAACTCGTTTAGTATTCTATATATGTTTAACACAATGATACTATAGCATAGGACAGGCAAGTTAATTAGAAATACAATAAAATACATATAGCGTAATAAATAACAAAGAATGTCTAGAATGATAGCATATCGACCATTCATACTTGGTACCCAATAGACAGTGAAACCCTGCCAGTCCAGAGCCTGTTGATCTGGACATCTCATGGGAACAGCCATCTTTGGGACATTTTACGTACCGGTACTCAGGATTCGTTAATCCAGAACATATGGCTAAGAAAGACACTGTCCAGATGACCAGGGTTTCATGGACACTGGTCAGTCTTATCAATCCTAGGTACTGCCTGGTATGAGGACACAGATGCCGCTATTGCACACTTCTCTACCCTGGATGCTGAACTGTTCCAGTCTAACAAAGGCAGTACAAGACTTTAGACACTGTCCAACGCCAGAGTCTAGTAACAATCAGTAAGCTCAGCTAATAATTGACAACGTAACATGAAATCTGAAAATTATCTGAGAGCCAATTTTCAGTCTAGCAGACTCAACTGTTTTCTGCAGACTACAGAGATATTTGTCTTGTCCTGTCTACTGATGAAACAGTCACTAGACCTATTTACTGACAAGTCTGAGGTATGGTAGGATTTGGGTTATTTTTCATCTGCTGCAAAAATGACACAAAAAAGTCAGTGATTCCTTGCTCTATAGTAAAGCTTAAGTATTTCCATGCTATAAGTCTGCTTTCACAAAACACTCATGGCTTGATGAAATCAAAGCTTGGTGAAAAAAGTCCTGAGGAGAATGGAATATTGTTATCTTCACCTGTACTAAACAAAGTGTGCTCTCTGCCTAATCATATTCATCTATGTCCACTGCTAAGGCCGTAAGAAAACATCAAAGTTCTAATCCAACAATGTCAGCAGTAATGGGGGATTAGTTCATCAGTGTGACTTGCAGATGGCATTGCAGTCTGCATCCTTAGTGAAAACTCAGTAATGGTACACCACATAAACCAGCATATGATTATTTCCAGAAAACACTTTGTGCAGAGCTTTCTGAGATCATGATTCCTTATCCGTTTATTTAGTAATTTTCTGTAGACATAAATCTCTGGAAGTATTACCAAATTGCTTATCCTTAAAACCAACCAAGGCCATCAAAATGTACGTGTTATATTACGAAGGATCCAAGATCTATATCACCTTCTCACATTTCGTATTTAAATAAACAGATATATATTTCATAAGTAGTGATATCTACATCTTTCATTCACGATTTTATCTTAACAAATATACAGTTTGATTTTTATGATAGATTAAATTACAGAAAAGTAAACATAACAAAAGTAATGTTGCTATGGCAACATTCAAAAACAACTAAAAAGGTAGTCATAAACAAATAAAACAGTCATTACTATCAAACTAGAGGCAGATTCATACGTTGTGAGATTTGGTATACATCCTTTCATTCTGAATACTGACTGTTTTTGTTATATTTCTATACTGTAAATCTGGTGTGTCATTAATGAATAGAAAATAGTCAACAAAAGGCATACTGCATCTGGAACATTCTGTGACCCTGTGCAATTACAAGCCACCATCATAAATCTCATCAATCTCATCATCACCACCCTCATCATCATGATCATCAGCAGCAGCATCATCACCTAAACTTTGTAGATGATTGATCATTAACAAGGGGTGTTGTCAAATGGTCAGCACAGTTACCTCCCTTTGTTAAGTTTGCAGATAACCTGAACAAAATGTTACTTATATAAAGTGAACTTTTGTTTGAAAAGGAATGACCATCTTCATTCTCACTTTCAGTGATTAACTCTACAAACTTAATTGGAGTTGGAAATGAAACGCCATTTCCATGTTACGCTTTACTTTAGTGTTCACAAATTTACAAAACCGATAACTGTACACAAGACTCATTTCCTGCTGTTTACAGCTATATGCCCCATGTTCGCCAAAACATGCCGGTGACAAGCCTCTGAGTATTGCTGTTCCAACAGTGTTGTGAATGCTGCAAATGGAGAGATGCTATTTCCCTGTCCACTACTTCTCACTTGGCTTGTTCAGAGGACTCTGTTGATTCACCTTCTGACTTCTCCTCGGTCTTCTTCTCATCATCGTGGAAGAACAACAGCGGGAACATACCGATCAAACAACCTAAAGAAATACCAAATATCTTGCCCTGAAACAACGAAAGTTAGTCATCGAGTCATAACTGAAGGCTGGAAGACCTTAATTAACACATGGCCTACATACATCAAGGACTTAGTCCATTGGATGGAGCATCTGCCGGGGAGCGGAAGGCCAATCATTGTCCGAGTCACATCAAAACATGTTAAAATAAGGTACTTGTTATCCTGCCTGGCGCTCTGCATTAAGGCGATAAAATAAGGACTGCTCGGAGTGTGATGTTAAACCCCATTTCACCACACCTCCAAACCTAATTTCATTTTTGCACACATCACAAGTACAATATCTAAAAAAACATGTTAAAATAAGGTACTTGTTACCCTGCCTGGCGCTCTGCATTAAGGCGATAAAATAAGGACTGCTCGGAGTGTGATGTTAAACCCCATTTCACCACACCTCCAAACCTAATTTCATTTTTGCACACATCACAAGTACAATATCTCAAAAAACATTTTTGTCAAAACAAGCAATATATTCAAGTAAACCTGGTCTTGTTACACAATGCCTATACCTAAGCCATTTGTGAATGGAGCACTCAGTGGCTATATAATAAATCATTTGCAGTGACATTATCAGCATTTATACCTGTTGTGCAATATTATTCAAGGTAAATTTTTTGTAGTTTTTACGAATAAACCTGGCCCGGTAAAAATCAAACGTCAAAATAATTAAATTTCAATGATTGATTCTTAAAATCTTGTTTGATTGAAAAATTGCTTGTTTTGAATACTTTTTGTGTGTGTGTTTTGGTAACTTTTTTTAGGAAATTATTCAAATTAATTATTATTTCGGTTCTTTCAAGTGCAAACTGTACTTGGGAAATGTTGTCAGGCAATCCTTTTAATGACAAGGGAGATAACTTACAAAACTTGACGACCGTCGCGTGGACTTCATGTCGAGTTGTGGGGGTGTGAGAGCGGGTGCTCTAACACCCGCAGCTGCTGCTAGCCTCTCCACATACGAGGCAGATCTGGAAATAGATTTACACACTTGTGTGTTAAACCAAGTTGCAAGATTTTGGTTTGTTGTTTAACGCTGCACTCAGCAATATTCCAGCTATATGTCGGCGGTCTGTAAATAATCGAGTCTGGACCAGACAATCCAGTGATTTATATCATGAGCATCGATCCGTGCAATTGGGATCGATGACATGCATCAACCAAGTCAGCGAGACTGACCGCCCGATCCCGTTCGTTGCCTTTTACGACAAGCATAGTCACCTTTTACGGCAAGCATGGGTTGCTGAAGACCTATTCTACCCCGGAATCTTCCAAGAAACCACATGACTCTAGACAAGTGTGTCAACTCACACACAACTGTAAACAGCATGTACAGGTGCGAATGATACAATTAAATAATTTAACCACACTAAAATAGACTACCACACAAATCAGTCACAATAACCTTTCTGCATCTCTGATGTACCAGAGAAACACACAACCGTAATATATTGTACAGAGCTCCTGATACGCTAAAATAAATTGCTATTACCATTGATTTAGAGTTGCTGGCACACAAATCTGCTTGAAACAACCTGAACAGTCAAACAATGCAGTACGCAATTACCCAATGCTGCCTCCCAGCTTGCATACCTGTATTTTATTGGGGGAAAATTGTCCCAGAAAATGCTCAAGAAAAAGATATAAGCTTCAGAAAATAAGAAATAAATTGTTTGCCACCAAAAATAAATTGATGCAAGATGATTTTAGAAAAAAAGATATTTAGGATCATATTTCTTTTTATTTATCCAGTCTTATTACAAAATCCCAGTTAACATCGATAGTCACTCGCGTAGTGATGTTTTTAGGCATCGCGTATACATGAACTCCACAGCAGTGAATAGTACACAGAAGCACAACCTCTCAAGGTCTCAGACTTATTTCAAATATAAGTATAATTGCTGGTTCAATCATATACAAGAGAGAGAGGAAAATTACACTGAATACTCACAGAAAGCTATCAATACCCAAGGTGAAAGATGACATGTTAGGTAATAGTCATTGGCTGTAAACTTATCTGGAGCCTAGCTGTAACAAAACATCACTCACCCGAGTCCAACAACATCAGAGATCAAGTTGCCCAAGCCAGCAGCTGTAACAGAAGCAACAGTAAAATCCTTTGTAATTCATGCTGGTCCATTAGCCTGAGACTACTAAATTGTGCTGAGGGCAAGTAAAACTCCTCATATACGGGTAATCCTCATTGGCTAGTAGTATGGATAGAAAATGGAACGGCACTCAATACTGACATAAATATGGCCAATAGAGCTCCAGTGTGTTGAGAAACAGAAGATATAAGTTTTTTTAAATATTTTATTATTTTACTACACACACCAGCGTGTTAGTCTTTTAACACAGCATATACTGGGAGTGTTTGTTTGTTTGTTTGTTTATGCTTGATTTTACAAGTTGGTTAAATCTGTGGATGTTTTCACAACATTTATTTAATGTTGTTAGTAAGACAATTACTTATATATATAGCAAAATAATAGCTGATAGTGAATGAGTGAGTATGGTTTTACGCCGCTTTTAGCAATATTCCAGCAATATCACGGCGGGGGACACCAGAAATGGGTTTCAGGCATTGTACCCATGTCGGGAATCGAACCCAAGTCTTCGGCGTGACGAGCAAACGCTTTAACCACTAGGCTACCCGACCGCCACTAATAGCTGATAGCTCATGTAGGGGCTTTTGACCTAGTGTCAGTCAAGGGCATTTGTCCGTACAGGATAATGTCCAGGAGGCTTCTGTCCTACTATCAACATCACAGCATATCAGCTGGAAGTGCTAGGCCTGCCAAAAAGCCAAGTCTTGTCCCTCCCTCAGTATATCAGAAATGAAACAAGCCTGACTCAGTCACAAAAAGCACTATGACAAAGTATGTCCATATCGCAATCTACCTGAATCTATTGCACACTTGTTACTGGGATGTCAAGACCATGCCCCTGCCCTGGCTCGGTTAAAACAAGAATTGCGGTTAGACCCGCTATCTGTCATAGATCTCATAGAGCCAAGAGATGCAATAGCGAAGGCCAAACTAACTCTATTTCTGAGAGATGGACAGCTACTCGAATGTATATAAACAGAGCAGCCAAAGACAAAAGTGAAATTATATCAATATACGAAAATAGAAATCATATCAATATAATTTTTTAATTTGAAGTTTATCGGTTATCGGTTATCGGCTTATCGGTCTATGAACTCACACAAAGTGAAGGTCAATTCTTAAACAAAAACAGAAATTCTATGAATACTCGCAATAGATATGTGTACCCTACTCACACACATGAGTCCCAAAGAGAGACAGGCTGAAGGCGACCAATTAAATACTTAAAGCAACAACAACAACAACAACAGAATGAAAAAGGCCAACAACGGTCAGCCGAAGCTCCACATACCTGCCATTGTGGAGATTCCTAAAACGGCCCCCAGCGTGCTGTCAATGTACTCCCCCTGGAACACACACACACCATGTAGGAATCTGTGTCTGCATTCTCAGGAAATTATTAAACCTCCAAATACATGTTTGTCTGTAATAACTAATCTGTACTACAGCCATATGTCATGATACTCATCAATAACGGCCCTAACAATCCACCAACCCTAAGTCTTTCATATTTTCTTGCATGACAATTCGATACTGATTCCACATTTAGAGTCAGGTTCCAATCAAAAGTTGTATCCTGATGACCAGGGTGCCGTTGTACAAAACAACCTTAGCACTACGACTGTCATAAGTAAATGCTAAGGTTAGGAGTTACGATCACCTTAGTGCTGAGATTGCTTTGTACAACGAAATATATAATAAAAATATATTTGACCTTCCTACTCTATTTTTAAAAAATCATGTGAAACTACAATTTCTTTGTGGTGCCCAGCATGTATGATATGTATACACTTCTCAATACTATCTGATAACAATGGACAGCTAGGAATGAATAAGTGAAACCAATCTCAAGTCTTTTACCTCAAACAAGCATGAGTTACTGGACACCCAATCTCAAGTCTTGTACCTCAAACAAGCATGGGTTACTGGACAACCAATCTCAAGTCTTGTACCTCAAACAAGCATGGGTTACTGGACAACCAATCTCAAGTCTTGTACCTCAAACAAGCATGGGTTACTGGACAACCAATCTCAAGTCTTGTATCTCAAACAAGCATGGGTTACTGGACACTCAATCTCAATTCTTGTACCTCAAACAAGCATGGGTTACTGGACACCCAATCTCAAGTCTTGTACCTCAAACAAGCATGGGTTACTGGACACCCAATCTCAAGTCTTGTACCTCAAACAAGCATGGGTTACTGGACAACCAATCTCAAGTCTTGTACCTCAAACAAGCATGGGTTACTGGACAACCAATCTCAAGTCTTGTATCTCAAACAAGCATGGGTTACTGGACACTCAATCTCAATTCTTGTACCTCAAACAAGCATGGGTTACTGGACACCCAATCTCAAGTCTTGTACCTCAAACAAGCATGGGTTTCTGGGCACCCATTCTGCCACAAACCATTTGGAAAATACACACAAATTTCCAATTTTTCTCTCAATTCTCCAAATGTCTTCAAAGCTTCAGGGTAATTTGTTTTATCATATAATGGGTAGGTTTCTCGGCAGGATAAAGCCAACGGATAAAAACGATATCCCTTGGGGTCATGTGCGGATAGAGATGCAAATATCAAAGGTCAAGTAGGGACTACTTTCACTGTTTATATACAAACATGGCGTCGCCCTCGTCATTCGGCGATCGAGTCAGAATTAACAATCGGGAATCTGGATAAACTACAGGGATAATTGCTATCATTATCAAAAGAACAGTCTAACATACTGAAAATCAGTGTCTAACTGTGACATAGCTAAGGCATTTTATAAGTTTTGGCAACTTTGGAGATATAAATTTCGAAACAATTTTGCGAGGGCACGAGGCCTAGCCAAGCGGGATCAGTAGCCATATCTGTGCCTGTAGACCACTGCGGCTTGAAACCTTCTCCACAAATTAAAATAGTTGGATTTGGCCAAAATATGTTTGAATTGTTACCTTGTTTCGTTTTGTCGCTGTGACCGACTGTCAACAACGTCTGACCGTGGCCGTGACGTCTCATAGACTAGGGTTAGAGTAGCTTCCCTCAGTTACTCTAGCGGATAGACCGATGGATTGCCGCGAAAGGCAAATAAAAACAATTGTTTTTTTGCGTATATGTTGCTTCGCCATTGTATAAGAAACAGATGTCAGTTGGAACTATATTGGCTACTGTCACTGTCCGACTGACACATCACTTACCCTGTGACGTAATAAATATTAATGCGCGCATTCATGAAAAACTCGCAATGTTTCGGTAATGTTTGTGAGAGAGGAAAAGCGATTTTGAAGCACAGAATTAAAGAATGACATTATATGATAAAGAGGTTTTCAAGCTTGTGTGTTTGGAGATGGTAAATATCCTGTATTAGTAATAAACACTATGTATTTAGCTCGCCAAGGCTCGCAAAATACAAAGTTTATTCCTAATGCAGGATATTTACCATCCCCAAACACACTCGCGTGATAACCTCTATTTATCAGGGTCAATGCACTGGTTGGCATTATTCAAGAGACTTTCAGGAAAATGTGAGTGGGTTCATTGTAGATGTCAAAGTCAGATAAAATTCATCCGAGTGTCCATCCTGAGGAAACTAATGTCCCCTCCATCTCATCCCGTTGAATGCTTAGAGATCAACAAGCCATCAATATTCTGATTCAGATTACAACAGAGTTTGATTTTCACAATCTTAAGCTTCATGGCACTGGCAATTTCCATAAGTAACTGATCAGAACTTTAGACTAGCAATGGAAATGGAAAACTATTCAAAGAAATCCCAAAATGATTGTCGACACAATACCTTACCGAGTCATTCCAATTTACAACCACTTATTCTGCGATACATAAATCATCTTGACCTTTTCATCAAACAGAGGTGGGTGGTGTTTATAATCAGCAGTGTACACAAATAGATTTCTGGTTCTATATTTAAAAAAGAAATCTGTGCTAAAGAAAAAGAATGGCGTTTCAAGTTTTCTATTTTGGTCTTCCATGTTTTCAGATTCAGGAAACTAAAAAACAGGAATGTGTACAAAAAATAACATTTAAGTTCACATTTTTTTAAATAATGCCAAAGAGTGGCTATTTGATAGCCTGCAAGGGTGGAAGACTGCTGGATAAAAATATTTTGTCCTCAGGTTTTTCAAGTAAATTTCTTTATGAAAAATAATTTGGGAAAATTATGGGTAATAAAACCAATCCTCCTTTATTATTTTTTTATCAAGTCTTGAAACGCTGACTCCAAAAATAAATAGGATGAGTAATGAAAGTGTAATAACATGTAATTTCCATTTGAAAAAATTACAGATGGATTGGTGGTAATATCAGTCTTTGTTACCTAACCGCTTCTCACAATGTGATTGCAATGTGATAACATAAGATGTGTTTGTTTGATTGTTGTTTAACGCCACGCTCAACAATATTCCAGCTATATGACGGTGGTCTGTAAATAATCAAGTCTGGGCCAGACAATCCTGTGACTGAATCATGAGCATTGATCTGTTCAGTTGGTGGCATGAGGTGACACACATCAACCAAGTCAGCGAGTCTGACCACCCAATCCTGTTAGTCGCCTCTAATGACAAGCATGGGTTGCAGAAGACCAATTCTAACCCGGATCTTCACAGGAAGATAACATAACACAACTGGGCCACGTGTGATATTATATGAGAACATGGCAACCAGCAAAACACAAAGGATGCTGTTAAAACTTCTTTGAGGGACACTAAGCATGTCTTAAAGAATGTTACGTGGCATGCTAGAAGATATCAATGAAGGCAGAGTTGCATGCTTGACAACGGTACCAGCATCTCTACCGAAATGTCACACTGAACAAATGTCTCTGTCTCCATCAAGTACTATTCATAGTACTCAACCTATTTCCTTGTTTTGTTTTCTTGTTTTTTTGTTTGTTTTTTTGTTTGTTTGTTGTTTAATGGCACACTCAGCAATACTCCAGCTGTATGACGGCGGTCTGAAAATAATCGAGTCTGGGCCAGACAATCCAGTGATTAAAATCATGAGCACAAATCCACACAATTGAGATTGATGACATCATCCATCACTAAATCCTGTTAGTCGCCTCTTATGACATGTATAGTCGGCTTTTACGACAAGCTTGGGTTGCTGAAGCCTATTCCGTGTAGTGCTGAGGCTAATATCATCCTCATCACCCCATGGCAATATGATGGTTTGAATCTCATCCACATCTCAGATAATCTGGATCTAAAGAGGCTGACTTTGACAAGGTATCCCCCTGACGGAGGGGCCAAGGTGCTGATAGTAAAATAGCTGTGCTGTAATTGCCTGTAGACAATGTCAATAATTACAGAGGCATTTCCACAGCTGCACTGAATAATTGAATGGGTATTGATTTGAACTGTGCGGACTTACACAGACGATCATGATGAAGTTGTCAAAGAAGCCGAACCCGATGAATGGCAGAGCATTATGGAAAGCCACTGAAACAGAAAGAAAAGTAATAGGTTTCAGCTCCCACATGGTATTCTTCCTTCCTCCTTGCTAAATGTCTTATTGAAAATAGGGAGCAAGTATCAAGGGTGCTTTGAACAGTAGTTCTACTCTTCATCATCATCTGTTTGTTGTGAATGGATAATTATATGAATAACATATTTTGAATACAAAATACTAATGTATTAGCGAGATCTTTAGAAAGGCATTGAACCCGCTGACCAATTCAATTTTCAATATTTATTAAAAATAAATAATATTGTTTAAAACAAGAACATTTTCTGTTTGCATCAATTGACAATTTCTCAACATATTTCACAGATCATCAAAATAAATATACTACTTCTTCATAGGCCAAAATAAATTAATTATTAGATTTACATGATTTACATGTCATGATAAGAATCTGACTTGAATGTGTGTGGGGGGTGGGGGTGGGGTGGGGGTTTGGAGGGGGGGAGGATGGGACATGAAGAAAATGGATACTGTCCCCAAAACATGCTACAAATCCTGGGTCATGCAATCCTGTGACACGTGGTGTTTGGTACTGAAGACAGGGATGACAATCTAATAATTAATGTATCATGGCCTTGTCTTAAGCAGCATCTACAACTACAACTATAGCATCGGTAGCAACAGCTGCAACAGCACATTTGGCTGTCCTCTCACATTCTTCTCTGGAAATAGATTTCCCAATTCTCATCCTGCTATGTTTTTAGTAGACGTGCTTGGTTTAAGGTTACAACAAATATCAGATCATACAATCAATAATTCAGGATTGTCTCCCAGCCTGGGGTACTTGACAGTCATCAATGAGATTAACAGCTACCAGTGGTGACAATACAAACCTATTAACATGATTAGTCAGCACAATGTTTTGTTGCATCACCAAAAAAATATAACACTCGGATTTATCCAGTATCATAAATATTAGCGGGAGGTGTCATTCTGAAAAGTGTTCAGATATTAAATTATTTAAATTATTTTCTATGTGCGGTTTCTGTTTTGAAGCACTGGACACATTTTGCAAAGACATCAAAGGTCATGTGTTTTTTCAGGCATAATGGCATGACTCCTTGGCAACCTGAAGTACAGACACATGTAACATCCTATTCTATTGATTTTTCGATAAAAATACAAATATTTCCAGATATTTCAAAAAAATATATTCTTCAATTTAAACATTTTCATATATCACTTGAATAACAGCATCAGATGAGATGATCAGGTGTTGTAAGATAAGCTGATTGGGTCACTTTAGTGAATGAGTGAGTGGTTTAAGTTTGAGTTTTGAACATCATTTTAGGTATATACTACGGCATGTCGGACTGATGTCGGAGGAAAACCCAAAGACATGCAGTTCTTAGACATTTACGACTTATTGTGAAAACCAATTAGCTTGGTAGGGTGCTGATATAATATATATAATAATATAAACATAAACAGGGCAAACTAGGATTTGAACTAGGGCTGGGACGGGTAACTCGGGTACTTGGGTCAGGTGGGTACTGAGTAGGACCCGGGTACTCACAGGACTACCCGGACCCAAGGTTAGTCATGTGATCTATTGTTTAATGACAAAAATTATCTAGAACTCTATGGTTTCACTGTAAGTGGCAAATGTTCACATTTCTTTCTGACTATGCACGCATTTCTTCTGACTTTATATGTTTGCATAAAGATAAAACTTCAGTCAACTTCAGTGTATGCATGACCAGATCAGATTATACCTATATCTAAATACATTTTGACAGGAGTACAGTCAAACGTTTCCCAATCGAACATTTTGTACCTATCTCTTGAGACCTACAACAGGTACCTGGGTAGGGTGGGATAATAGGGGTGGGTGGGGGGTGGGGTGTACCCGGGAAGTAAATTTTGCCCTAATTTGAACCCACAATCACAGGTTTCTGACATGCCCAAGGGATGCAACTCTACATGACGAAACATAACATTACCATGATTACATAGAATCAGAAAATGTCTACCCATACAGACAGCTACAACACAAATCCTAACATTAAAAAGGAATTGTGGTCAATGGGTCTTCAAAATACAACTTAGGACGTCTGCTGGTATGGCTGTGAGATTGGTTCCCACACTGATCTATTCCAATCATCCAGAAACCTTAGTTATAGATTGCTGCCAGCCATTGACGTCCATTACGACCACTTTAATCAGAGGAAGAGACAAGAAGAATTTCTTCCTCATGTCCAACAAACACTAACGGCAATGTCATTAGGAACATCAATACATTGACGACGAAGCTATAAGTTACAGGCGATGGGTCGTCAGAGAAAGGTCTGTGAATTCCATTATTCTGGATAAAAATTGTAATCTGGATAAAACTTTCCAGGTAATTGTCTTTCCCAAGTCTCCAAACACAAGATGATTTCAGCAGGAAAGTCAATACATTGTTGATCCCGCCACCTATAGCAGATTTACAGGAAGTCTCCAAACACAAGATGATATCAGCAGGAAAGTCAACACATTGTTGATCCCGCCACCTATAGCAGATTTACAGGAAGTCTCCAAACACAAGATGATTTCAGCAGGAAAGTCAATACATTGTTGATCCCGCCACCTATAGCAGATTTACAGGAAGTGACTAGACACACCCTGTCAGCCCTGTCGCAAACTGGGAATCAATTCACTGTGTGTTGTACATGTATCTATGACAATGGGACTTAGTCTTAGATAGTCTGCTGCATCGCTGCATAATAGTGATAGGCTTAAAATATGTTGCAAAGCACTACTGATTCTTTTTGCTGGTTTTCAAACCCTACCACCAAAAATATCAGGAATGTGGAAAACAAAATTTCACTAAGATGTATATCGTAAAATATATATATATATATTTCTCAACCCTATATTCTTACCATAAAGAAGTGAAGAGTTTCATATCATTTTTATTTCAACCTCCGACCACTCAAAAGATTCGAAAAAAATAATTCTAAGCTAAATAATGAAAAAAGGTCTCCAGGCAGTGCCATAATACAAATATACTACTCCTCGTTTGATAGGGATTTTTTCATTTTTCAATGATACACTAAACTGCTTCTCATACTATATTTTATGTATTTTAAATAGTGAGTGAGTGAATGAGTGAGTTGGGTTTAACACCGCTTTTAACAGTATTCCAGTTATATCGCGGTGTGTCAGCTTAATGTGGGAGGAAAGCCCGAAGTGATGCAGGTCTCGTATTTTAAATAGAATGACATATCTGATTGCCGTGAGGCGACAATGCTTAAGAGGCACTCTGACAAGGCAGTGATCTTTAACATAGGTCGTACTGGGTCTGCCTGTTTCTAAACCCCCTCCTTATTTAGACCATGGGTTTAAAAATGGAAAAATAAATGCTTTTAAGCCCATGGGTTTAAATTAAATTGAAAAAGTGATTGATCTCTCTGTTTTTCAACAAGTGTAGCAGTATGTTCCTATGTGGCCAGTTTGCACTAATATTGCACCTTAGGTGCTGTCAGTAGTCTCCACCATTACAAGACACACTGGACCCCTAACGTAGGTGAATTTCAGGATACTCATTTAAAACGCAAATGCCAGACATCGATAACTGTGGTATTGGTTCTGTTGTTACTTTTTGGGGTGGTGTTTGTGTTCTTGACTCAAAATTTTCAAGTTGAGAAAGAAGATCACGTCTTACGTTGAAGTGTTGCTTTCTCATTCCATTTGTAAGTATTGTTAAACTTCAATCTCCATATCATGTTTTTTCTTTTTCCTTTTTAAGCCGTGTTTATTGTATGCGCCCCTCATGGCTTATTATCCCTGTATGTTTTGTTGTACAATAGACAACGACCATGAGTGATTTATTTCTTATATGAGATGTCAACATTTTGTACAGCCCCTTTAAGGATGTAAATAAATTGTACAAGCTTTATAAAAATACTTTCTCGTATTTAAATTATGATGACCCCCTGAATACAATCCTAACTCGGCAATGTCAAACAAGTCCATTTTAGGAACAGTGGGTGTTAATTTTGGTATTTCCTGTATATTCTCACAATTTTCATGTCGACTGTCTGTAGCTTTTCTCTCAATACCCAGTGTCATATCTCGCCCACTTTTGGATGCGATCGTTCGGCTATTGCGTTTATCTGCGTTGCTGAGTTACATGTATGGAGAATAACTCACTGGACACTTCCCTCTAAAAAATAATGTCATCAACATGATCAAGTTGCGAGTGCATCTTTGAATCTCAAGAAATGACGTCATTATAGATCAATGTATTGTGAAATAAACCACACTTCACTCTTCATTCTGCTTTGCAATTTATCGTGCAGCTATCTCACATATCATAATAGTATGGCGGGACTCTTGGTCTCATCTGACAGCTCAGGTTTTCCAAAGGGCATTAAATTGGGTTCAGATCAGGGTTTGTCAATAGTTTTGGACTTTGAATCAGGTGGTGCTTAACTAATACATCATGTGTATATTAAATTATTTCCCGACTGGTTTAGCAGCATGGCTGGTTAATAGTTCATCAAGCATTTACAGTAAATTCTGATTTTTTCCAGCGCTTGGTTATTAACAATCTGAACAAGGTGAAGTAAGTTGTAAATATATTAAGCCTGAATGACAGCTAGTTCATCCGTGGGACATAATCGATAACCTCAGGACACCATGCAGCAGCTGGTAGCAGCTGGTGGCAGCTGGCGGTGACACACACTTACAGAGGCGCAGCTGCGTGGACGTTGGTGGCACAGGAGGGTCAAGGCCTGCAGAAGAAAAACATCAAATGACAAAACAGTGAAACATAAAACTGAACCATATGATACATGTACACTGGATAATGATACTAACCCAGGCATCACCACACCACATTTGATATTCACATTACTACATCATCAAATATCAGCCCATGTTAACACGAAACATAAAAGTCAAAGCTTGTACACTTGAAGCGTTAAACAGAAACTTGAGCAGTGAGGAAAGGATTTGACACAGCTGCTGAGAAAAGCTCTAATCCATGATAATTATATCCACATTATTATTCTTATTTTTCCCTACCATGGCTATTTCATGACACTAAATCTGCAAACCAACATAAAAATATATATACATCACACACACACAAGCAAGCACACACACATAATATGACATATGTTTACACTGAATAATGACTCACTTCTTTTGAAAATATACCATATTTCCAGGACTGAAAAGACATATCTGCTCTGACATAGTCTAAGATTATCAGATGAGTTTCCAAAACCGTTGAGGCTAATGTTTGTCATCCATTTTTGATGACATCACAAATTGATAACAAAACATCACCTGGACAACCGTATGTTTCAATGAAGCTTTCCGTAGGGTTGACATTATAAATATTTTTCTTTATTTTTCTTCTTAAAATGGCAATGATAATTAATAATATATCGAAAAAAACAGCTGGAAACTCAGAATTATGCATTATTTCGCCAGGATCAAGACATTGTTCATTCACTTGGAACAGAAAATTCTCTTAGCTTGTTGGTTAATCTCTAATTAATTTCTTAACCAAGTTAATAACTTTTTTAGCGGCCATTATATTTCAAATTCATCCACCAAAAGCAGAGTCCAACCCATCCTCAATTATTCAAATCTCCATTCTATCATAAAATATACAGTGGTCCAATTCCCACCATAGCTTTGGTTCAGAAGTGACGTCATCATCTCCGTCTCTTTTATCACTTAACTCAAAATTTCTCCCACTCATGAACTCTAAAACCAATCTGATTTTCTGAATGCAAATTCGACTTAGGTGTACATTCAAAATTGAAACCCTTTCCTAAGCCTTGATATATATAATTGAAACAAACAAACAAAATGCTAAGTTAGAAAATATAGTTTCCGGAGTGCAAGGACAGTGAAGTCCTCATGGACAATTTGAGCATTGTCAATACCTCCCATACAATATGTTCATCTATCACTTGTTTGTTTGTTTGTTGTTTAATACTGCACTCAGCAATATTCCAGCAACATAATGGCAGCCTCTAAAATCAGTTCTGGACCAGACATTCCAGTGTTTGACATAATGAGCTCCGATCTACACAATTGAGATACGATGACATGCATCAACCAAGTCAGCAAGGCTGACCTGATCCCGTTAGTTGCCTCTTACGACAAGCATAGTCACCTCTTACAGCAAGCATAGTCACCTCTTACAGCAAGCATGGGTTGCTGAAGGTCTATTCTTACCCGGATCTTTATGGGTATAGCACGGCTACGGAACATGGGGCATAGAAATATTAAAGTATTGCCGATGATGTTTCAGTTGTATTCTGGTGATATCGCTGCTTGTCTCAATCATGAATAAACATGTAATTTGATTGGATGGTTCTTGTAACCACTGTGTCCTTTAAACCTGACTTGATACAAAGGTATGTCAGCAAAGGGGCGCAAGGTATGATCATTATAGAATGGAGATCTTACACACTGGATAATCGAGGAAGTGTCCGATCTGAAAGTCTGTGTGAATAGCTATGGGCAGGAATCAGAATTGATCTGCATGCATCAATAGTGTTAGCTGCAGTAACGATATCTCTCTGCTGCTCCCCATAAACGATTTTGATATTGACTTGTCACTGTGTAATCGTTTATCATGTTCCCAGGGAGCAACAGAGGAATATGGTTACCGTAGCTACAATTGAGGGGTTTCATTGGATGAGGGGAGTTGAGGATGGGGTTGTCATGGCAATCAGGTTATAGGAGGAAGTATAGCATATTTTGCTTCTTGGATAGAATATCAGAGTGAAAAAATAGATTAAGTATGTTCAGAATAAAAACATACCATACTTAATTAATAATCATAAGAATGAAAACAACATGTTGGATAAACTGCAGAAAATACCAGCAAAATTAGAACTAAAAATGTCCGAATTCATATCAATAACGTCATATGTTATGGCTCTGTAGACTGGACTTCAATTTCACTCTTAACAGGTCCAATAAGGATTAGAGTGAGTGAATATGGTTTTACGCAGCTTTTAGCAATATTCCAGCAATATCACGGCGAGGGACACGAGAAATGGGCTTCACACATTGTACCCATGTCGGGAATCGAACCCGGGTCTTCGGTGTGACGAGCGAACGCTTTAACTACTAGGCTACCCGACCGCCCCCCCACCAATAAGGATTAGAGACTTCCGTGAATTCACTGTTAACAGTATTTAAACATCTTGATGCCCGACTGCATGAGTTTTGTGATTTTATCAAGGGGCAGTCCTACTAACAACAAGTAATTCAAGAATTTATTAATTCATGTTATGTTAGGTTTTTGCGTTCACATGCAGGTATTTCTTTTCGCGATGTCAACTGTCTACGTATCTACCAACCAATAACAATCAATCATTCCTTAGTTAAATACTGAAAGGCCAAAGGAAAACAAAAAAGCCACATCATAAATAAGGTACATGATGCTAATTCTACTCGAGCATGTCAAGCCTCCACATTGCATGATGCAGATTGTTACCATTAGATTTCACACCACCTGAAAGCACAATAATCGATATTGAATAACATTCTCACAACATCAAAGACATAAGAATCCAGATTTTCATGATAAAAATGAAATGAAACATGGAATTAATTTCCAACCAGGACAGTCAAGATCTTGAAACTGAGAACTAGTGACATAAAATAGACATGGTCAATGAAGAGCAAATGAGGTTAACATGTACAGTCCTCCTTAGTTGTGCCACCATTTGTCCAGTGGAAAATATGGCATTATCCAGGGTTGCATAATAAGCAGGGTGGTGTTATAACCAGGGTGGCATTATAACAAGGGTGGTGTTATAAACAGGGTGGAACTATAACCAGGATGTCATTATAACCAGGGTGGCATTATAACCAGAGTGGCATAATAACCAGGGTGGCATAATAACCAGGGTGGCATTATAACCAGGGTGGCATTATAACCAGGGTGGTATAATAACCAGGGTGGCATTATAACCAGGGTGGCATAATAACCAGGGTGGCATTATAACCAGGGTTGCATTATAACCAAGGTGGCATTATAACCAGGGTGGCATTATAACCAGAGTGGCATAATAACCAGGGTGGCATAATAACCAGGGTGGCATTATAACCAGAGCGGCATAATAACCAGAGTGGCATTATAGCCAGGGTGGCATAATAACCAGGTGGCATTATTACCAGAATGGCATTTTAACCAAGGTGGCATTATAACCAGGGTGGCATAATAACCAGAGTGGCATTATAACCAGAGTGGCATTATAACCAGGGTGGCATTATAACCAGAGTGGCATTATAACCAAGACTTTTTTGTACGTCATAACATTGTCTCAGTCGCTTGAATGAGAAGCCAATTGTCTAATCCCTTATAACAATGGGGGCTCTAGGTCAGCACCAACCATCTAGGATTGGTTAATCAGAAACTACGCTTTAAGAAATAGAGCCCAAACAGCAAGTCAGATTGCTGTTCACTTGTGCCAGCCAGGCCATCAGAGTTCAATTACTAAGCAGATGATTAGAAATCAGCTGCATGCAGCTAATGTACATGCTCGGCAGCCACGTGATGTACCACGCCATGCTGGTCCACATTTTGTCTTTCAAGATGATAACACTCGTGCCCACCTACACATAGTGTAAATGACAACTTCCAGCAGAAAAACATCACTAAAATGCATGCAATGGTCAGTTGTGACCTTTCCCCCACAGAGCTGATCTTATTGATCAAGTCTTGATCAAGTGATTGTTCACACCTGTGCAATACACTAGTCCTCCTTCTTTCTTATCCATCCATTGGCATCAATCGATACCACTTTCAATTTCTGTAATCTGTTATTTTTGAAAATTTGAGTCTAAAGAGTCTGATTTGGGAAGTGTCTCTCGCTCTCTCCTGTAATGGCACTTTCACAAGCTAATGGAGATAACCTGATGTTTATACAGTCCTGTCATTCCTTCTCTCAGAAGTTAGACATGAGAACAACCAAGGATCATAAAGAATAATTGTGTAGCAGCATTAACATAAAATTTCAGAGTCCTGTGATGACATTCGAACCATGGACCTTCTGATCCGAGGTAAGAACCCTTGTTTGGATGTCATCTACTGGAGAATGCCACACCCTGCTACATACTCCTCAATCAGGAGCCACCTAGAAGGGTACTGAGACTTATTTCACTAAAATGTATTATGAACGTGTCTGCTCCAAGCTGGGCGCTAAATAGCGGCCATAAAAGTTCTGAGTCTTGTGATGGGAATCGAACCATGGACCTTCTCATCTGAGGTCAGACGCTTTGACCAAAGAGGTTAATCCTGTCAGCAAGCTGACTAGGTACAGATGTCATCTGTGGGATGACTCCGTGCCCGGCTACATTCACATAATGTTTATGCAATAAATGGCCACATGTCAATCAGTGTTGGAAATCAAGGAATCCTGGCGCATTCCTGCTAAGCTATAAGAGCTTTATCTAGGAACCCCTTTTACAATGTGGTAAGGTTCAGCACCCCTTGACCTTACTGCGTAATGTGCAACACCGCACTCATCAGGAAGGCATGGTCACGGAAAACCAGTGTTCAAAATTAGCAGGATCCTGGGTTTTTGAAGTTTGTCACCATAGTAACTGCATCAAGGGAAAACTCAATCTTTAACATACGGATTAGGACAAGAACCCCTTGACTTTCGAAGACTGGATGCAAGGACTGGGACAGGTAAGTCGGGTACTCAGGTCGGGTGGGCACTGAGTAGGACCCGAGAACCCACAGGACTTCCTG